TGGGTATACCTACACAAATCAAAACTGACAATGCTCCATCATATGTCTCTGTTAAAATGAAACAGTTTTTGCTTATTACAATATAAAGCATATTATAGGCATACCACATAATCCTACAGGTCAAGCAGTTATAGAAAGATCAAACAGAACTCTAAAGGATATGCTAAATAAACAAAAAGGGGTAACAAAACCCCCCAGAAATAGACTACATAATGCTCTATTAACTTTGAATTTTTTCAATGCCAATGAGAAAGGAACAACAGCTGCAGAGAGACATTGGATAATAGAAAAAACTACAGAATTAAATCAGCCTATATACTTTAAGGATGTGCTGACCTCAGAATGGAAACCAGGATATGTGTTACGTTGGGGATGAGGTTTTGCTTTTGTTTCTACAGGAGAAGATAAGCTGTGGGTACCATCAAAATTGATAAAGGTTCGATTTGAACGAGAGAGACCTCTTTTTTTTTTTTTTTTTTAGGTTTTCCGAGACAGGGTTTCTCTGTGTAGCTTTGCGCCTTTCCTGGACCTCTCTCTAGGCCAGGCTGGCCTCGAACTCACAAAGATCCGCCTGCCTCTGCCTCCCGAGTGCTGGGATTAAAGGCGTGCGCCACCACCGCCCGGCTGAGAGAGACCTCTTAATTAGAGGAGATAGTTCATCAACTAGCATGAACATCCAATTTAAACTAACTTATACCAGTAACACATGCCTTTTCATTTAATCAGATAATAACTTGCCAAAACGGAACATCCCCAAAATTAGTCTTGCGGAAAGGTTTTTGTTTTTGTCTTTTAGGGGAATGAAGGTTAAGGAATCTGAAGAACACTGGACAAATGAGACAACTGAAGAAAAGGGACAAATCATCTATCCCAGGAAACAGAGTGAAACGGCATATGGGTATATCATCTAAAAAATTTTATAAGTCTTCCTAAATGTTTGTTTCTGCTCTTCTCTAAAGACATTTAACACTATTGGTCTTCTTGTAGTCCCAGTTCAATTAAAATTTAAAGCTGACTTTAGAGTTGGAGAATGGTTCTCTCCTTCTTTAAACTCAAGCATGTTGTTAAAAGGAAAACGCAAACTCCCTGTATCATGCCAGAAGAAAAGAGCCATTTTCTGCTATGGGACAGGAGAAAAACCAAATTAATTAAGGGACTATTCTATTATTAATCTCAACTCTTTGATTTTATTCTGATTCTTTAAACTTTTTTTTTTTTTGTTTTTGTTTTGGTTTTTCGAGACAGGGTTTCTCTGTGTAGCTTTGCGCCTTTCCTGGAACTTGCTTTGGAGACCAGGCTGGCCTCGAACTCACAGTGATCCGCCTGCCTCTGCCTCCCGAGTGCTGGGATTAAAGGTGTGCGCCACCACTGCCCGGCTCTTTAAACTTTTCTTAAAGTATGAATTTTATATCAAAATTTACAAGATTAATATATATAGATATATATATATAGATATATACATTTTAGACTTTGTTAAGATATGAATGGTCATATAGAGTACTAACTAATTCTGAAAGAAAAAAGGCTTCAATTAGCTGCATATATATGTCTTTGTGTTCGAGTCTCTTATCAGTTTTCTGCAGGAAATCATGGCCAGGCCTAACATCAACTGAAGTCTCCAGGAAGAAGATGGGGCCCCACAACAACAACAATTCCACATGGACAATAATATCATAAAGCTGACAAATATCATCTACAGATCAGCTTTGAACTACAAAGTGCTCAGAGCCCATCTCTGAGTAATGAGAAAGTATAAAGCTTATCTGAAGTCCTGGCTGCAGTAGTACATGAAGGTGGACCATCTCAGTTAACCACCTCGGAATTATCCTCAGCGGTTTGTCGTCCAAAGTCGATCTTTGCATGGTATTTATCAGCTTAGTGGAGTTACCACAATCCAGGTAGAATTGTCGTGGATTTTGGAGACTTCGGAGATCGATGTTAGGAATGTTTATCGTTCACTGCAGAAAACTTAAACATATTAAATGTCATAAGCTGTAAAACTTAGGGAGGTTAAAGGACCATGATCATCTGGGATATCCAGGCTTAATTTCTAAATATCTGTTTCAGACTCAAGCCTGAAATCACATACAGGAATCTACATGAAGCCTAAGGTTAGGATTAGCACTTTATAATGTCATTAATACCAAAACAGAAATTTTAAATTTTGTGATCTTATAAAATTCTACTTCATTCCACAGGAACTATAGTTGTTTCCTGGTGAGGCAGAGACACGGTCCGCTAATGACTTGCATCTGAAGTAAGTGTCTTGTGTTCTCCTTTAAATTCCTCTGTCTGTGTCTGAATATCTCCATTATCTGTTTTAATAAGTTTTTCTAAGGCTTGTAACTTATCAGTCAAAATTGCATTACTTTCTTTAGTAATTATTTGTAGGGCTTGCATATTATCAGTACTAAGCTCTTCTAAGGCTTGTATCTTACAATTATTAAGTTTTTCTAAGGTTTGCATATTATCAGACAATTGTTTATTTATTCATTTATTTATTTAATAGCCTAGTATACCATTTAAAAGTTACCAAGTGTGTTACTGGACTGGACATTGTTAATATATATAATGGAGTTTTTATCTGAATCTGTCAAATGTTAATGGACTAGACATCATTAATGTAATCTTGACTGTGTATATTGTATATACTTACTGGATATAATTTTTCTTGTATTAGTTATAAGCTTTTTTAAATTTCAGGCAAAAAGAGAGGAAATGTGGTATTGTATTCCCCCAAATATTGTGCATGCTAATAAACTTATCTGGGGTCAGAGACAGAGCAGCCACAATATTAAACATAAAGGATAGGCAGTGGTAGCACACGTCTTTAATCCTAGTATTCCAGAGGCAGAAATCCATGTGTTCAAGGATACAGCTAAGCATGGTGACTCACGCCTTTAATCCCAGAAAGCAGCCTTTAATCCCAGGGAGTGATGTAGAAAGCAGAAAGATATATAAGGCGTGAGGACCAGAAACTAAAGGCATTTGGCTGGTTAAGCTTTTAGCTGGTTAAGAATTCAGGCTTTCGAGCAGCAGTTCAGCTGAGAGCCATTGGGATGAGGACACAGAAGCTTCCAGTCTGAGGAAAGAAGACCAGCTGAGAAGTTGGCCAGGTGAGGTTAGCTGTGGCTTGTTCTGTCTCTCGGATCATCCAGTGTTCACCTCAATAACTGGCTTCAGGTTTGATTTTATTAATAAGAACTTTTAAGATTCATGCTACACAAGTGTCTTACCAGTTATGAAGATGATCCTGGGAAGGTTGTGTTGTGAAGGTATTCAGATGTAGTGACAATGTTTGACCACCAGGTAGAGCAGGTGTGGCACCAAGGCAACTCAGGTTCAGCACCCTGGAGCCACATCAGACTCTGCTCCAGCACTTGTCCCCACCTGCCAAAGTTCATACCACGAGGAACCCCAGAGCCCGTCAATGAGCTTGCCACGCTGAGGGCACTGGAGGAGAGTTGTAACAGCATGGATGACTAAAGACTTTGTCCCCCTCACTGTCATAAAAAAATAAAGATTTTATACCTGTGGTCATATTTTATTTGTGCTGACAAATAAAGCTTGTCTGGAGATCAGAGTGTGGAGGAACCACTATTAACCATAGAAGCCAGGCAGTGGTGGCACATACCTTTAATCCCAGCACTTGGGATCTCATGCCTTTGATCCCAGTACTTGGGAGGCACATACCTTTAATCCCAGCACTAGGGAGGTGGAGACAGGATGAGCTGGCTGTGCCGACAGAGGAACAGGAACTCACTATTTTCAGACTCAGGAATTGGTGAGAAAAGAGGTAGCCGTGGCTTGCTCTTTTGTCTCTCTGATCTTTCAGCATTTACCCCAATATCTGGCTCCAGCTATTTATTATTAAGACCAAGTAGAATTCCCGCGACATCTGGTGTCCACCTTTTGGGGCATGAATTCACCAAAAAGCCCCTTGCCTGTTGTCGAGGTCCTTTCAAGGCCAGCATTAAAGCCCTCTGTCAGGGTTCAAAAACGGTGTTCCAACAAGCGAGGAAAATCTGAGGGATCTGAGGGTGAAGGAATGAATCTGCTCCCACCATATTCACTGCATGTCTCTTTATTCTTCTCGGTGCCACAAAGTTTCCAGTTTATATACACACACAAAGCAAAGGCTATTCCCTGGTAATGGCAAAGTTACAGAGCTAGAGTTTCTCTCAGGATTATAAAGCAAGTAGGTGCTGTCCCAAGTGACACTTTCAGCATTTTTATGGTTGCTGGGGGGCATGGCTAGAAGGGTGTGCTGGCTGTGCTAAGAGGCAGAAAGGCTGATTTAATAGGCTCTAAATTATAAGGACATCAGTGGAAGATACTACATTCCTAGGTGTGCTTAATTAAACATCGGGTAGTGATAGATAAAATGTGAAAGCCAAACAAGTAAGGGCGCGGCGGTCGGCAGTCTTTATCTGCCTCCGGCCGTGGCATCACTGAACAGCATCAGGGTTGCCATGGTGACTGGCATAACTAGGGAAGGAAACCGTGGAGTCTGGTTCATGCCAGCGTTTTCATGCCAGTTAGTGTGGCTAACTCAACGGGACTTCCGTAGATTTACAATTTTCATCTATCACCTAAGCGGTTAGGACAAGGAGGATTTATGGCATATAGTACAAGGTCCGGGGCCTGACGAATTCTGGCCACCCAAACCAAACAAACCAGGGTTTGTCTGTAAATGCCAGAAAAGGGAACTAACTACCTTACTCCTGCACTGGCTAAATAAGCAATGGCTTTCTCTCTTCTCTCTCAGGGTTAGGAAACAGGCAGTAAGTTTCCTAGGCAAATTTCTATATCCAATAAACCAAAGTGAGGATATGTGTAGTGCAGTGGGCCGTAAGAACACATTATAGAGAGTCAGCTGTATATTAAAGATATACCTAGAAAAGTCAAGGAATTTTTGTAGAGAGTGTAAGGATTCTGTCCTTAATTACGTCATCAGCCGGGGACGGCATCCCAGCCTAAAAAGCAGGTGGGCCCTCTATGCGTCCCTCTCTCCCTCTCTTTCCTTTCCTCTCCTTCCTTCCATCTGTCTTCTTCTCTCTCTCTCCCCTTTCCTTTCCTCCTCTCTCTCTCTGTCTCTCTGTCTCTCTCTCTCCCCACCCCCCAATAAAGCTCTAAAAAGGTAACCATGGCTCGTGACTCTCCTCCAGCACTCTCCTCTGTGGTGGCCAGCCAGGAGCATCGTGCCTTTTAACCAACATTGGTGCTGTGACACAGATACACCACCGAGCACCGAGGACCTGCTGTGACTGCTGCTGCCTGCCACCTCCTCCCCCATCCAGCGAGACTTTGAGACCTCGAGCGCGCACGCATCCCTCGCCTCTGCTGGACCCCCACACAGCTACCACTACTGATACCGCCATGATTCTTCGCCACAGTGAGTCCGCCGTTCTCGCGGCTGTAGTCTGAGCTATATTCTCTGCGACAGACACCCCGGGGGTTGTCCTCGGGCTGTGCTGACAATGGCAGACACATTTTCGCTCCTGATGAGGGTGTCAATGCTGTCTCAGGTCCAATGGTGGACCATCTGCAGTGCCCCCGCAGCCCTTCCCATCCCTTGATGAAGATGGCAAACTTGAGCTGATTCTTAGATCTCTCTTCACTCTCGGGGATGCCCGAGATTGGAGTCCCGGTTTGTTATTTTAATTTTTTTTTCTCTCAGCTACAGCCATGAGACAAAGGGGCGGATACGATACATTTACCACCTACATTGGCAGATGGGGCGGACACCAGTAAACCTGGCCACATAACAGCGTAAACCTGGCCGCATAACAGCATCGCGGGAAATTCTGCCAGCGAACAGGCAAATAAGAGTTACTTTATCCCCAAGCTTTTTACTAAAGTTCTAACTAAACCCTTCTCCTTCCCCACTTCTGCGTCTGCCATGTGCAACCTTTTCTGTCTGACTTCCCCCGGCAGTGGGCAGGCTCAAATGGACAGGCTTGGATGGTTTCTACGACTTGCCCTAACTCACCTTAACTCCACTCACTCATTCTCATGTGCATACAGACAGGGCCCTGAGCTTTGCCTTGTCCCTAATTCCAAAAAATAAATTCTCATGCACCACAAGCTTTTCTTTCTTTTTTTTTTTTTTCGAGACAGGGTTTCTCTGTGTAGCTTTGCGCCTTTTCCTGGAACTCGCTTGGTAGTCCAGGCTGCGGTGGTCCTACCTCTCCAAACCAGAGCTACCCCTGTGTTAAAGTCTTTATATAGAGTTCCTGTCCTGCCTTCTCATTGGTTGTAAACCCAACCACATGACCGCCTCCTCACGGCCTGTCTGTATAGACCTCCAGCTTTTCCATGATTGGCATTGAGATTAAAGGCATGTGTATCCAATAATGGCTGTATCCCTGAACACACAGAGACTTACCCAGCTCTGCCTACCAAGTGCTGGGATTACAAGTGTATGCCAACACTGCCCTGCTTTCCTATGGCTTGCTAATAGCTCTGACCCCCGGGCAACTTTATTTATTAACATACAAATAACATTTTAATACAAATAAAATATCACCATATTTCCCCTTTTCTATTTTAATAAAAAGGAAAAAAAAGAAAAAGCTTATAACTAATATAAGAAAAACTATATACAAAAGTACAATAACTATATACAATATATACAAGTAATAAATACCTAAACAATGTCTAGTTCATTTGTATTTGACAAATTCAGAGAAAATAATTCCATTATCTATCCTATTGTATCTAATTCACTTTCTATCCTAATTAATCTTCAACTATAACTAACTAATCTTCAACTCCCTCAGAGACCCAAGAAAGAAATAATATTAGCTAACAAAAAAATAAAAACAGGAAGTATATGCAAGCAACATACAAATAACATTTTAATACAAATAAAATATCACCATACACAACACCTGTCTACCTCAGAAGACTACCCCAAGAGCCAACCGACCTCCAATTGTCAGCTGGAAGCAGTTTTTGAGAGGAACGACGCTCCTATTCCATCTACCTGCTTTTTTATAATAAGTGAAAGTCTGGCATGTAAGGATTCTGTCCTTGATTACATCATCAGCCTGGGACGGAGTCTCAGCCTAAAAAGCAGGTGGGCCCTCTGTGCGTCCCTCTTTCCTTCCTGCTCCTTCCTTCTGTCTGTCTTCTTCTCTCTCTCTCTCTCTCCCCCACTTCCCTTTCCTCTCTCCCTCTCTCTCCCCCCCTTCCCTTTCCTCTCTCCCTCTCTCTCCTGCGCGGCCAGCCATGAGCACCACGCCGTTTATCAAGGAATATTTGTGGTATTCAGTTTTTTTTCTTCTTTTTTTGTTTTTCGAGACAAGGGTTTCTCTGTGTAGCTTTGGTGCCTTTCCAGGAACTCACTCTAGCCCAGGCTGGCCTCACACTCACAGAGATACACCTGCCTCTGCCTCCTGCATGCTGGGATTAAAGATGTGCGCCACCACTGCCTAGCGGTATTCAGTTTTTAATATATCAGCTGTCTTCTGCTATGAAATTCTCGTGTGCTCCTATACTACTAGGCCATATGGCAGACAGTTAAGCTTCTCAGATGTACTGCTGATCCATTAGGTAACACCCCTGCAGGGCCTAGGAGACAGGTGGGCTACAGACGCATAGCTTTGTTTCTTGTGCAAATGAAGCTCAGAACTTCCTTCCCCAGACAGGGAAAAGGGCATTCCAGAGCAAATGACTCAGAACAAAGGAGTTTTTGCATATCCAGTTAGAATGAAGGATGGGGCAAGATTCCTGGTCTGGGCAGAGCTGTGTGAGGAGGAGAGAAGGAGTTTCTGTACATGGTAAGACAGAGTTGTGTGGCTGGAGAGAAAGGAACAAGGTAGATCTTTTGTAGAGTGTGGCTCAGGCTGAGGAGTGAGGAGCAAGGAAAAGTTTTTTGTCGATTGTAGATGAATCAGGTCAGAAGAGGAGAAGAGGGAGGAAAGATGGAGGATGTAGGAACTGAAGACGAAGAAGAGATCGAAAGCATAGCTTACTAAAACTGTGAGGAGACAGAAAAAGAAGGGACAGAGAGGAGCTGAATGTGAGGACAGAACTGAAGCTGTGTAGATAGAATTTTGTCTTAGAGAAACAAGTAAACGGACAAAAAAGCTTGGTGTACATAGATTCTTTTCCTGACTCACCGTTCGTAGCTTCTCTTCTGGGCCCCTGGGAAGAATATTAAGGCTGATCCTTAATAATATTTGAGATTGTAGGGGATTAATAGCTTTTTAGGGTTAGAGCTGGGGGCCAGCTGAGGTTATAACTTTCCCAAGTCAGTTGCTTGAGCATTTAGGGCACTCACTCTTGTAATCAGGAAGGACCAGGAATCAAAGGAGCTTGGACGTCCCTTTATCTCCAAAGGTCCCAAATGTGATCTATTTGAAAGACTCCATTCCTGACCACATCTTGCCAAATGGGAGAAAATTGCAGGGATCTGTCTTCTAATGTTTGTCTTGGGGAACGGAGTGGAGATCAGGCTGTGGGAACTGAGGTTATTGGCTATGTGACTAAATTCTCTCACTGGAGGTCCCTCAGAGTGGGGAGAAGTCACCCAATATACCAGCACATGGGAGAAATTGTGCCCTGTAATTTATACACTGCTGGATCTTTTTTGGGACAAGTGAAAGATTTAGAACAAGCCCCCACGGTCAGGCATGTCTGCATATGTCTGGCGGACACTTCCACCTAGCTAGGTCCAGGTCCAGATAGCCATTTCCGGGTCAGGGCATCTCGCGTGACCAAGATCCATGTCCCACTAGCCACGTAAGCGCGCAACGTGGCCATGTGATCTACGCGCTTGCATGTAGTAGTGACGCTGATCTGTCCACGCCCAGCCTTTAAAATCAGGCGCCATGTTCCTGGTTCCTTCCTTCTTCTTCTCCACACACGTGTTTCCCGCAGGCCTGTTCACTCTCTGTCCCTTTAATAAAACTCTTGTTAGCAGATTCTGTCGTGTTTCGTGGCATTTCCTTGCAGGGTAAGCACACAGCGCAGCCAAAAAACAAACGAGTCCCCCTCAAAGAGGGGAGAGCTTATGGTCTCTCAAGAGATTCACTGTAAGAACAGCCATAATACAAAAGGCAATACTCCCTGCGTCTTGTGACTGGGTGTCTTCTGTCAGAATGCATCAGTTCTGGTGGGTTGACCTTCTGCTTTATCAGCTGAAATCTCACTTGTATAACCTTGCAGACTGCAGCACCCTGTGGCTTTGCAGACACCTGTGGCCGGAGTCACTATAGGCTGGCTAATGTTTTCCTTTCTTTTCCTCAAGCCTCTGAGCAAGTTGGGATTTTTCTGTTGCAGCCTATCTGCAGCAAATTCTATAGGCTTTGGGCTCCAAAAACTGCAGAAGTTAGCTGTTTTTGTACATTCCCCTGTGCCGACAGCTGGCTCTTTGGTTTCTTCTCTCTCGTTGTCTTGTGGCTTTCCGTAGACCTCCGCCTCTGGCTGCAGCCATACTAGGTGGCTGCTTTGAAAACAATTTGGGCTTCTACTGTTCTACTCAGAGCATTCAGTCTCATGTCTTCACCGACATCTGAATCACCATCATTGGCAGATTTAGTGAGACAATTAGGAATTCTTAAAGGGAGAAATTAGTCAAAAGAGAGTTTTTTTTCCCCACATTAAAAAATGGAAAACACTATTATAATGGTGGGAGTTAGGTTTCTGTATGATAATACATTGGATGATTTAAATATGGAACAATTAAATGAGGAGATAATTAATTTAGATGGGACTTATGTAATATAAATGGTTTTATAATTTTTGCTTTATTACTAAAAAAGTTGGTTAATGTGACTACTAAGATACAAGTTTTAGAAAAATTTATTAAAACAGATCATAGAAATATTCAGACCCAGACAGAGGAATCTAAAAGAGAACCAATCTCAGCATTACATCATAAGGTTAGAGAGGAACAGCCTAAGGCTTTCAAAAAACCAACTTTAATTTGTCCAGTCATCTTACAGGAATTGCCAAATGATAGATATCCTCAAGACTGTGTACAAGCTGAATGAATTCCAGTGGACATGTTAGATTTAAGGAGATTCAAGGAAATTATTGTCTCATATGACATGCATTCACCTTTTGTGAAGCAGATGTTAAACTCGTGGTCAACTTGTAATAGAATTATCCCTCAAAACTGGAGAGACTTGGTTACAGCAGTCTTGGAGTCCTCAATTACAGTGGGGGACCAGATGAAAGATGAGGCTAAGATCATTGAACAACAAAGTAGGGTTAGAAATATGGAAATCTTCCAAGACCACCTTCTTGGAGAGGAAGATTATGCTAATGTAGAAAGGCAATCTCTATATGATGACCACACTCTGGCTTTATACCATGTAGCAGCCTTGAATGCTTGGGACAGAATTGAAGAAGTAAGAAAGAAAATTGAGTCATATACTAAAGTTATACAGGGCTCAAAAGAAACTTTCAATGATTTCTTACAAAGATTGACTTCAGTGAATAGAATGATACCAAATTTAGAAGCTAGACAAATAATAATTGAATCTCTGGCTTTTGAAAATACTAATACACAATGCAAAAGGGTAATTAGACCATGGACCTGAGATATAGTCAATATTGAGTCTCATAACCTAGTTGATGCTTAAATAGGAGAGGTAATCTCCAGAGGTTTGAAGAAAAATCAAAATGTCAAATGTTTCAATTGTGGTAAACAAGATCTCCTAAAAAGGGATTGTAAACAAGGAATTCCTAGAAATGATGTTTTTTCTAAGACTAATCAACAGAATGCCCCTCCCTTCTGGATTATGCAGAAGCTGTGGCAAAGGCAGGCATTGACCTAAGGAATGTAAGGGACAGACAAGATAACTCTGCCATCAGGAAATGCCTTGGGGGGCTTTTTGCAGGCCCCCATGTCAAATTCGGATCAGTTGTTTCCTGTGATTGTGGAGGAAACACCTTCACAGAACAATTAAAGAAACTAATGCCTATTGTAAGAAACCAGACTGCTCTGGATGATAGAACAGCAATAGAAGAGAGAACAAAAAATTCAGGAGAAACTGTGAAGTGAATACTTTGACCAACTTCTATAAATGAACACAGACCAAAATTAAAAATATGAATAAATGATGTTGTCATTGAAGGTCTTGTAGACACAGGTGCGGATGTAATAATAATTGCACCAGCATTTTGGCATCCAAATTGGCCTCTTTAGGAGGTAAAATGTTCAGCTTTTAGGGACTGGAACATTATCTCAAATGAAACAGAGTGCAAGATAGGTCAAATGTATAGGGTCACAAGGATAAGGAATAAAATTAAAGCCATGTGTGGCTAACATACCCATGAATTTATAGGGACATGATTTGTTATAGCAATGGAATACCCAGATTAATATTCTTCCAATCTCAGAAACAAACTATAAACTAACATATGTTTCTAGGAAAAATATTAGAAGGTATTATAAAGAACAGTCACTAACCATTACGGTTGTACAAGAACGGGGTACAACAGCTGCTGATCTATCTTTCAAAGCCACCAATAGCTCTACCTTAAAAATGGCTAACAGATGAGCCTGTATGGGTTCAGCAATGGCCTTTAACAACAGAGAAACAGCAGGCCTTAGAACAGTTGGTACAAGAACAGTTAAATGCTCAGCATATTGAAGATTCAACTAGCCCTTGGAATTTTCCTGTATTTGTTATTAAAAAGACATCTGATAAAATGGAGAATGGTAACAGATCTAAGAGCTCTTAACAAGGTAATTCAGCCAGTGGGCTCTCTATAGTTTAGAATTCCTTTGCCTTCTCTATTACCTAAAAGATGGCCTTTTAAAGTTATTGATTTAAAAGACTGTTTTTTCTCAATAACCTTACAAGAAAAAGATAGAGCAAAATTTGACTTCATGGTGCCTACTTATAATAATTCTCAGCCTTTTAAAAGATATCACTGAAAGGTTCTCCCACAGGGAATGTTAAATAGCCCCACTCTGTGCCAATATTTTGTATGACAGTTGTTGGAAGTAATATGTAAGCAGTTTCCTCAATCTATAGTATATCATTACATGGATAACATCTTACTAGCAGATTCAAATGTAGATACTTTAGAAAAAAATGTTTGAAGAAGTAAAAAACATTTTTGCCTTGTTGGGAATTACAAATTTCTCCTGAAAAAATACAAAGAGAAGATTCTATTAATTATTTATAATATAAAATAGTTCTACAAAAATTAGACCAGAAAAGGTACAAATTAGGAGAGATCAATTAGGAACTTTTTTTTGGCTTTTCAAGACAGGGTTTCTCTGTGTAGCTTTGGAGCCTGTCCTGGAACTCACTTTGTAGACAACCTGGCCTCAAACTCACTGAGATCCACCTGCCTCTGCCTCCTAAGTGCTGGGATTAAAGGCCTGTGCCACCACTGCCTGGCTCAATTAGGGACTCTTAATGACTTTCAAAGATTGTTAGGAGACATTTCCAATCTGCAGCCCACTATTGGGGTTAAAAATGATGAGCTGAGTAATTTGTTCAAAACTTTAGAGGGTGACAAGGACTTAAATTGTTCAATACAATTATCGGCTGAAGCTGAGACAGAATTGGCTTTGGTGGAAAAGAAATTACAGGATGCAAACGAGGATCAATTGGATCCGAAGCTTGATTGCATTCTGGTTATTTTACCCTCTAAGCATTCACCTGTAGGAATTTTAATTCAGAGGGAAGATATCATATTGGAATGCATATTTCTACCAAATAAACAGAGTAAGAAATTAAAAACAAGTGTGGAAATGATTTCTGATTTGATTTTAAAAGGAAAATTGAGACTTTGTTAATTAGCAGGAATAGACCCAGCAAAAATTGAACCTTTAACTAATGATGAAATTGACAAGTTATGGGCAGAAAGTGAACCTTGGCAAAGAGCTTGTAGTAATTTTTTGGGAGAGATTAACAACAAATATTCCAAAAGCAATAGAATTCAATTTACAAAGAGAACTAACTAGATCCTGCCTCACATTATATGGGAATCACCAATATCTGGAACCCCTACATTTTATGCTCGTGCAATCAAATCAGGAAAGGCAGGTTACAAATCTGGGATTAAAGGCAAGTTAAAATTTAAGTAAGGTGGATCAAAGTCCTTATAATTCTGCCCCAAAGTCAGAATTATGTCTTTCTGTTGGTATTAATGGATTTTACGGAACCTCTTAACATAGTTACTGACTCTCAGTATGCAGAAAGAGTTGCTTTACACATTGAAACTGCTGAATTTATCCCCGATGAGTCAGAATTAACTTCATTATTTATTCAGATATAAGAAATAATCAGGAATAGGAATCATCCCTTATATATAAAACATACATCTGATCCTCTACGCATCTGACTGATCCTCTAGCACAAGGTAATGATGAAATTGATCAGTTATTGATAGAAAATGTGTTGGAGGCCTCAGAATTTCATAAAAAACATCATGTCAATAGTAAGGGTTTGAAAAAGGATTTTTCTATAACCTGCCAACAAGCCAAGGAAATTATAAGGAAATGTCCTAATTGTTCTTTATACAACCAAACTCTACTACCTGCAGGAAGTAACCCAAAGGTTACTCAAAGAATGAAATCTGGCAGATGGATGTGTTCATTATACAGAACTGGAAAATTAAAATATGTACACCACACCATTGATACCTATTCAGGATTTCAATGGACAACTGCTCTGAGTTCTGAAAAAGCTGATTCTGTAATCACATGTTTCCTAGAAGTTATGGCCATCGTGGGAATACCTGTACAAATTAAGACTGACGATGCTCCAGCATATATCTCTGGTAAAATAAACAGTTTTTTAGTAATTACAATATAAAGCATATTACATGTATACCACACAATCCTCCAGGCCAAGCAGTCATAGAAAGATCAAATTGAACTCTAAAGGATATGCTAAATAAACAGAAAGGAGACACTGGATAATAGAAAAAACTACAGAATTAAATCAACCTGTATACTTTAAAGATGTGCTGCCCTCTGACTGGAAACCAGGATATGTGTTACGTTGGAAACAAGGTTTTGCTTTTGTTTCCACAGGAGAAGAAAAGCTGTGGATAAAACCAAAATTGATAAAGGTCTAATTTGAACAACCAGCATGACCATCCAATTTAAACTAACTTATATGACTAAGAAATGCTTTTCATTTGCTCAAATATAACTTGTCAAAAGGGACACTCCTCAAAGTTAGGGTTGGGGAAGGGTTTTGTTTTTGTCTTTCAGGAGAATGAAGGCTAAGGAATCTGAAGAACATTGGACAAATGAGACATCTGAAGAAAAAGGACAAATCATCCAGATAAAAACATCCCAAGAAAAAGTAAATTTGCCTATTGGTATATCACATATCTAACAGGATAAAATTTTATAAATCTTCTTAAACGTTTGTTCACGCTGTTCTCTACCAACAGATAACACAAATGATCTTTATATAGTCTCAGTTCAACTAAAATTTAAAGCTGGCTTTGGAGTTAGAGCAGGGCTCTCTCCTTTTTTAAACCCAAGCATGCTTGTTAAAGGAAAATGCAAAATCTCTGTATGATGTCAGAAAAGCCACCTCTTATGGGACAGAAGAAAAACCAAAATTAAGGGAGTCTTCTATTGCTACTAATCTCATAATCCTTTGGTTTTATTTTTACTCTTTAAAATTTTTTTAAGGTATGAATTTTATATCAAAATTTATAAAATTAATATATATATATATATATATATACATATCTTAAACTTTTGTCATGATATTAATGGTCATATGGAGTACTAACTAATTCTAGATAAAAGGCTTCACCTAGCTTCCTGTACATGATTTTGGATTTGAGTCTCTATCAGCTTTCTGCAGGGAACCATGACCATACCTAATGTGACCTTTGAAGTCTCCAAAAGGATGATGGGGCCCCACAACGATTCCACACGGACAATGAAAATGACACCATTAAGCTGACAAACACTGCCTAAAGATCAACTTTGGACTAAAAATGGTTCAGGACAATTCTGAGATGGCTAGCTGAGATGATCCAGCCTCACAGACTACTCTAGCAAGGACTTGAGACAAGCCCTGCACTTTCCCATTATACAGAGATTGGACAACAAATGATACAGCTACCTCTCCCAGGACTTGACAATTAACCCACAATTTTTCTTTTCATTATCCTCTAAAGATGCCATCACCCCCAGAGCAGGAAGTAGTTTTAAGAACATGACACCCACATTCCCAAAAGGTAGGGTGGGTGGTTTTTATTCGTTCAATGCGTTATGGATAGTACCTTTTGTTTATAATAATTTCTTCTTCTTCTTCTTCTTCTTCTTCTTCTTCTTCTTCTTCTTCTTCTTCTTCTTCTTCTTCTTCTTCTTCTTCTTCTTTTTTTTTTCTGGAGCTGAGGACCAAACCCAGGGCCTTGTGCTTGCTAGGCAAGCGCTCTACCACTGAGCTAAATCCCCAACCCAGTTTTTCTTATATTAGTTATAACCTTCCTTTATTATTTTAGACAAAAAAGGGGAAATGTGGTGATACATTGCTTGTAATCTAAGAAATAAAAGTTTGCCTGAAGATCAGAGGACAGAGCTAGCCACAGAGTTAGTCATAGAGATAAGGCAGTGGTGGCACACACCTTTAATCCTAGCACTCAGGAGGCAGAGGCAGAGATCGGTCTGTATCTCTGTGAGTTCAAGGCCAACCTGGGTCACACAAGATTAATCCAGTCTAAAAGAGAAACAGCCAGGCAGTGGTGGCACACATCTTTAATTCTAGCACTTGAGATCTCACACCTTTAATCCCAGGACTAGGAAGGTTGAGATAGGAAGTGGTATGACTGGGCAGAGAAAGGAATATAAGGCAGGAGGAGACAGGAACTCAGGTCTTTTCAGGCTCTTGCAGGCTGAGGAATTGGTTAGTTAAGAGGTGGCTTGCTCTGCTTCTCTAAGCTTTCAACTTTCACCTACTATCTGGCTCTGGGTTTTTATTATAATACCATTTAGGATTCATGCAACAACGTAGTCATGGCCCTCTCTGTATCTGTGTGCCTATCAGGGAGTCTACCTCCTAGTCTCTCAGTATGAGATAGTAATCTCAATTTATTCTTTTGCATTTGGAAATTCAGTGTGTTGACAACTACTCTCTCCTTGCACAGACTTGGCATCTTGACAGAGTTAATTGGCTATTACTAGTAGTTAGTTTGTTTTTCTCTTTTTTTTCAAAATAGGCATTCTCTGTCTAGCTCTGGCTCTTCTGGAACTCACTCTGTAGACCAGGCTGGCCTTGAACTCTGCCTGCCTCTACCTCCCTGAGTGCTGGGATTAAAGGTATGCACCACTACTGCTGAGCAGGAGTTTGTTTCTTTTCTTTCTTTTTTTTTTTTTTTTTTTTTTTTGGTTTTTCGAGACAGGGTTTCTCTGTGTAGCTTTGCGCCTTTCCTGGAACTCACTTGGTAGCCCAGGCTGGAATCGAACTCACAGAGATCCGCCTGGCTCTGCCTCCTGAGTGCTGGGATTAAAGGCATGCGCCACCACCGCCCGGCCAGCTGTGCTTTCTTGATCTTCTCTTATTCATCATTCCTTCTCGCCTCCTCTCTTGGCCAGCTCTAGTCTGCTGGCCATGTTCAAGCTACTGTTTTCTCTCTCTGCTCTGGAGTCTTCCAAATTGCCTCTGGCTGTTCTCTCTCATATATACAATAAAAACCTCCCCACCAACCAAACATGGAGTGGTCATGTCCTGTTTATACAATTACCGCTTACTTTAATTGCTTTCATTTGCAGTATGTGAAGAAATGGAGAATTAGCAATCTCTAATTTTGCTGTCTTTTGAGATTATGTAGGGTCCACATAAATTCCTCGTTCACTTTTCAATTGTTTTCAACATTTTTTGCTCAGACTTTTAAAGTTGAGACTGCTTGTCTTTGTAGATGGATCTGTGTTGCGGACATCTACCTTAACAATATCGTCTTTTGTAGGTCCTGAGGTTGGCAGTGAGTGATTTTTCCCAATGAACCTTCTTGCTGGGCCAGATCAAGCCAAAAAAAAAAAAAAAATTTTCAAGGTACAAATCCTTCACTGTTTTTATACGACTTATTCCTAGTTATTTTATTAGTCTATTATTTTGGATGCTACTGTTATTATTTAGCTGCTACTATAATTGTTTTATTCATTTTTGGTATTGTTTGTTGAAGGTTTCTAATCAACTGATT